CCCTGTGAGCAGGCTGCCTGGTCACACCCCAGGCACTGCAAAGCTGTTCTGGACTTTGCACCCCTGCTGCTGGGGTAGATTACCCCCTGAGTCTGAACGAAGGGCTGAAAGCTGCTTTCTGCTCCTAGTCCTGGACACTTTTGGATCTAAGGGGAGCATGAACGTGGTAGAGTAGGCAGAGAGTGGACAGCCTCTGCAATTTCAGAATTCAGACCTGACCGGAAGGCACCTAGACTTCAGCACCAAGTGGGGGACCTTCTGCAAACATGGAGAGTACCATCCACCTCCACTAGTCAATGAATCTCAAGAACCCAGGTGGGAACCTCCTGGTCTTTCAGGGATCGAATGCTGAGCTCTCAGACTTCTGCTCCGGATACGGGCCGCTCTGATTCCATGCCAGCTGTGCCCGTCCTATCAGGGCACAAACACTGAAAAGCAGTTGGAAATCTAGCCCCACATAGGGAGCTGTGCCGAAAGCCAGCAGCCTCACATTCACACTCCCCCTGCAACCACTCCTGTTCTCCACCTTCTCCATCTTCTACGCCTCCACAACAGGCATGGATGGGCCTTTCATCCCGAGTGCCCCAGGAAAGCTTGGCCTTGCTTTTGTATACTGCTGGAATTAAGAGGTTGTCGACCAGAGGAGAAAAGGAAAACAAACAAACAAACAAAAAAACAAAAGGGAAATAAAGGAAATGAGTGGGCACTGCCCTGAGGAGGTAAGGAGAGAACTGGTGGGGAAAAATGGCGATGGGGCTCTCAGAGGAGGGTAGAGGGTCACTGACAACTACCCTCTTTCTGCTGTGCCCCCTGCAGGCCCCAGAACCCCAAACACCCTTTGCAACTTCAAGACACTTGCAACGACATGCACCAGTTTTAAACTGAAACCCGAAAATGCCCCTGCTACTGGCTGTCAGAACCTGTTTTCTGGATGGCTTATCTGCTGAGGGTAGAGAGGAGGGAAGCTGCTTTAGGATGTCTGTAAAGATAGTTGACTCACCCACAAATCTTCAAAATCAGAAAGGAAACACCCTGGGAGGCACAGGCCAGGGGAGTGGCAGCAGCTGCAGGCTTTGCTGACTTGGCTCTCAAGAGAAAACCCCAACGCTATTCGCGGGGGAACAGACTCCCTAGCTCTTGTCTCTGGTTTCACGCCATGAAAAGAAAACCTCAGAAGAAAGCGGGACTTTAGGCCAGGCGCAGTGGCTCACGCCTGTAATCCCAGCACTTTGGGAAGCCAAGGTGGGTAGATCACTTGAGGTCAGGAGTTGGAGACCAGCCTGGCCAACATGGTGAAACCCCATCTCTACTAAAAATACAAAAAATTAGCCGGATATAGTGGCGTGCACCTGTAATCCCAGCTACTTGGGAGGCTGAGGCAGGAGAATTGCTTGAACCTGGGAGGCGGAAGTTGCATTGAGCCGAGATCGCGCCACTGCATTCCAGTCTAGGTAACAGAACAAGACTGTCCACCACCACCCCCGCCCAAAAAAAGAAAAAGAAAAAGAAAAATGCTCTAGAAAGATGGGGCTATCTCTGCTCCTGATTCTTTTCCTTGAATGATATCTTAGTGCAATATCCTGCTGAGATCATGTAAGGGAACAGCTCATGTGTGGTTTCATTTTTCTCATTTTCCAAGAACTAGTTAATAGTCTCTCCAACAAAAATCAGGTAATCAAGGAGCTTTCTCTTCTCATCAAAGGTAATTCCAATGACCAAATAGTTCCTGCACTGCCTGCTGAAGGCTATTATTTATTTTAAAGGTGGAAAAATAACACTTTGTATTTATGTGGTCGGGGGGGCGGGGAGAGTTCATATGTAACGGGGGTCAGTGTGAGGGTGCTTTCTCTCATTCTGTTTTCCTCGCCCTCATTTAAGTCCTCCAAAGCCGTAACTATTGCACACAGCACAGTGTCTCATACCTATCACATGGGAGGTGCTCAATAAGCATTGACTGGATAATCATATGAAATGACAAGAGATCAGTGAAGACTCGGCTCAGCTCTTTCCCTGCCCAACCATGCTAGCCTTAAGTAAGAGCTGAAACAGACCCATAAACTGTATTCTTGTAACTCAAAGTCCTGGGATTACTAAACTGCGTTTAGGTATGGTTTAAGAAGAACTGAAGGGAGCCCTGGCAATGGCTCTGTGACTGGTTGGTGAGAGACAGATGACAAGAGGAATGATCAACATTTAGAGCAAAAGAACATCACACGGAGAACTGTTATGCCATACCTGAAACAATGAAGGGACACGCAATACATCCTGGATATATTAACAGTTTTTTTTTTTGTCTACATTACACATTACAAGAGAAGCTTTACTTAAAACACATACTTTGCTGAGCAGAAACAAAAACTGTAAGAAACGTATAGTCCACTTCGGAGTTTCCCACTGTGCAGATTTCTTTCTGCTGTTGCAATATGACTGGTGTTTTTAGGTTTAGTAACTGGACAAAGTTTGGCACGATGTGGGGATTAAAGAAAACCTAACATATAGCCAATATGCCCCCTTAACACTATATGCCAGTTATCTCTCTATGGTACCAGGTGAAGGCCAAATTCAGACATTCCTGGTTCCAGAGCCTTTAGTGCTTGAACAGATAAGGTGTATTATTGAAGAAAGAGGTAAAGGCCATTTTGACATCAAACAGAAAAAAATTAGAGAATACCGTATTCTATCTATTTTGATTGGCAGAGGGAATCAGAAGGTATTCCCCTGGACTGCTTTGGAAATTATCCCGGCATTTAGAAAGTCTCTGCTGTGTCCTAATCTCTTTGTTGGAACCTTATCAATGGTATCTTGAACTCTCCCTTCTGTCACTACATTTCTTTTCCCACCTCCCCTTTGATCTCTTAAGGTATCTTGAAAGACAACTAAGCAGTTTTTGGTGAAAACCTGAACTCTGATTTGGTGAGATTTGTCTATTTGCCAATATAGGTAAAATCACTGAAAAACTGTTTCTGAAAGCCTACGTATAATACTTAAGGCCATGTTTCAAGAAAATAATGGAATAAACAGTCAGGAGAGCTGTCAGGTAATATTGCAATTATAGAGTCTTCTAACCTAAGTGTGTTTATCTGGCAGGGCGGGGCCCTTTCCTGGCTGGGCAATGGTAACTTGTCAAACCTGCAGTGAATAGAGATACTACTCAGGATGCTGAGACGCTGGCAGGGCAGACAGCATGGGGACTGTGCTTTCTGGCCTATTCCACGTGGGCTTCCCAAACAACTTCCTACACTCTTTTTATGCTTGTCTATTTCCTATTTTTTCAGTTTACAAACTAAATCTATTTAGTGCTTGTAAAAATGGGTTGAGGCTGCCAGTGGCTCATGACTGTAATCCCAGCACTTTGGGAGGCTGAGGCGGGCCGATCACTTGAGGTCAAGAGTTCGAGACCAGCCTGACCAACATGGTGAAACCCCATCTCTACTAAAACATACAAAAATTAGCTGGGCGTGGTGGTGCATGCATGTGGTCCCAGCTACTTGGGAGGCTGAGGTGGGAGAATCGCTTGAACCCAGGAGGCAGAGTTGCAGAGGTCCTACCACTGCACTCCAGCCTGGGCAACAGAGCGAAACTCCATCAAATTAAAAAAAAAAAAAAAAAAAAAACGAGAAGGAAAAAACAAAAAAAAAAAAAAAAAAAAAAAAAAAAAAAAAAAAAAAAGGATGAGTTTAGTATAAGAAGGCAGATGAGATGAAGCTATTTTCATTACTGTCTTCTAGAATGCTGGAGAGTGGAGAGCAGATTAGTCCCAATCCTTTACTTTGTGCATGGGGAAAGTGAGAACCAGAGATGTTCAAGGACTTACCGTCTCCCCAGCAAGATCTGGGTCCCTGTACTGCTCAGTGGTGAAGGTCAGGCTAGGACCCACCTATTGCGTCTCCCAGGTTTGTACTCTAGTGTGAGATGATTCAGGCAGCAGGACTGAATGTGAGTTGGGTGCCTTAAGACCCAATACCTGGGATAGAATGTGGTACATACAGAATTGACAGTTTGAAGCAGTTGTTTGATTTTCCCTACTGAGAAGATTCTGTGATAATAATGGGACTTGGGAGCATTCTGGATTGATTCCAAAGAGCAATAGGGAAATTTTAGTTAGAAAAGGCGGTAAAAACATAGGAGCAAGTGGACTATTTCCTCGGCTTTCACTTTTGCGCAAATTTTCATTTTCCTTCTACTGTAGATGAAATGAGATGCCAGTTGCAGGTTTGGGTGCCAGCAGCCTGCCACACTGATACAGCTGAGACTTTCTATTTAATATCCTGGCTGTTTCTTAATCTCCAGCTAAATCCAGAGCAAGCCAGACAGGCCACACCACATACTTTGGAAATGATTTGAGCTCACTTAGAAAATCAAGGTGGTGAACAATCTCAAGGAGGCAGGGAAGAGTGCATAAAAGGTGGGAGAGGTGGTGACCAAGAAGGTTTGTGACCACAGACTGTCCAGGAGATTAGAAAACATCCCTCTTAGGCCACCAAGGATGCTTGGATTAGGTAGCAAGTAGACCAAGAACAGTCTTTCTGCAGGGGACACGGATAGGAGGTCTCAAGAAGTAAGGTTTTGCTGGTTTATCCTGTGCTGACTCAACCCAGTGTTCAAATAAAAAATTCCGAATAACTGTGCTCTGCAGCTTGGGAGATGTTTTACGCATTTAGACCCCAGAGCAGACATTCGAGACATTTTAAAAAGTAAAGGTAGTCTAGTAAGCAAAGTGAACTATCACAGAGGACTAGAGATAGTGATGTCCACATGCATTTCTATTTTTCTTTTGATGGGTTGATGGAGATGCACTCCTGGCTTTTGCAGTTATCTCTGCACATGCTGCATTCAACTAAAAGATCTACTCAGGTCCCCAAATATCTTTTTTAAGAAGACAAATCAGGAATGGATAGGTGGGAAAATGAGTACACGTGGAAGAAGAAAAACATACAGGGTACTTTCTTGGGTTGTTTGACTGCTGTCTTTGTTCTCCAATAAAATGATGGGAGGCGAAAGTGGTTTCCTTCCCTGCGCTGTTGGTATCTTTCAAATGCATCTTGTCTAGCCTTCAGTGATTTTTCTTCTTCCTGCCACCTTTGCAGTTTTTGGTTCAGGTTTTCCTGATGTTCTAGCCCTGATCACCGATCCCCAGGGAACCACCCTCTTCCCACTGCCCCCAGTACCAGTCTGCCCCCCTCTGCAGACCTGAATTACTTCAAGGGGAAGTCGATTAATGGCTTATGTTAATGAAAGAAGCTTTTCACTTAGTCTGAGCTCTAGGAGGGATCATTAGGAAGGGGAGGGGGAGGCAGGGGGGCCTCAGAGGAGTTAGGACATCTCTGAATATAATGATTCGTAGAAACAAAAGCTTTCCCTTCCTGGGGGCCCCAAGCTATGGCTTGCCTGAAAATGCCTATAATAAGTAACAAGAAGAAACCTCTAACGAGGCAGTTAAAAAAGGAATATTGTTTAAATATGGGATTTATTCCTGGCTTCTGGTGATTGGCTGCAAGTCTACAAGGAAGGTTCAGATTTCAAAGAAGATGTGTAAAAAGGACGAGCCTGGGGGAAGGGGAGCCCGAGAGGCGAGAAGGTCATGTAGCTGACAGCGGGCCCGTGGGAATGTCCTGGCTGACCTCTTTCTTCCAAGCCCAGGCAGATTCCAGAGGTAAAATGAGCAGCCAAACAACCACAGGAGATGGTCTGTCTGTGAGAAGGCCCCTCAGGAGTGCGGGCAGGCTGTGATTTTACAGCGAGCTGGGAGCGCACTGAGCAGTGGGCCAGCCCTGGGGAAGCCAGAGGGACAAACCCTCTTTGGTGATGCCAGCTGGGAAGCTGAATGTCAACTGCGGGGCAGGTGAGGTGGGGGTCCTGGCGGGCCAGTCCCACAGAAAAGAGGTACCAGAAAGAGGCACCATTTTGTATTTCCAAATGGCTCTAGGTGTGAATTTCTTCCTAATTTGCAATTTACAATTTAGGTATCCACTGGCTAGAGACAGTGTGGGTAAGTGGCCGAATCAGGTAGGCAGACAGTTTTTAAGAAGCAACTTTCTTTCCTTGAATCTGCTGTCTGGCAAGACCAAGCGCAGCTGAAGGAGTGGGGGTGGTAAAGGGAGGCAGAAGCTCTCTCTCGGATCTCTGATTTTCAAACATTCTGAACCACGTGCCACAATCACAGATACTGTTACAGTCCTTTTTCCTCACACTCTTCAGAGGTTTAATTGGGCTTTCTGACAGAAATCTTGCTTATGCAGCTCACTCAGATTTTTGCTGCTAATTGCAGAGCTTTTATTTTTCTTGTCAGCAGAGTCACCTTAATTGTCTTGCCCCAAAGAGCCCCACCCAGCCCTGTTTGGTACCACATGGTTTTCTTTGAAAGGCTCTGCTATAACAGCAAGAATTACTGGGTGTCCTTTTCTAAGTAAACAGGAAATATCACTGTGTCAGAAAAAAAAAAAAAAAAAGAATCCCTCTTCTCAGCACAAATGCAATAATGTGCCAACTTATATTTCCTGTTAATGTTAAATTAGGAGCAGGATCTATTTCTTACACCAGCCCAGCCTTCTTAGCTTCTAAACTTTCAAGAAGCACAGCCCCAGGGAAGCCTGGCTGCCTAGGGCATTTTAGAAATGCTTCCACTGATTTGCGGGAGGCAGTAGCATCACAGTTTGGAAAGATAATAATGCATTAAAACAAAACAAACAAACAAACAAACAAACAAAACCTGTGCAAAATCACAAAGGGGCAAGATGATATGCTTCTAAATTTTAAGTCACAGCAAGTGTTTATGTTCTGATACTTGATCACCTTTCTATATAGGAAAACTCTGAAGCCTTGAGTCAGGAAGGAGAATTGACCCAGGGCAGGAGGAAGAAACGCAGGAAGGATGGCTTTTTTCCCATTACATCAGAACCTGGGTTCGTGTGTCAGGCAGGCGCAGCCCAACCAGTCCTCCACACACGAGCACGGTAGAAGCCAGCAGGATGGGGATTGATTTGGTGATGCTGACCAGAGAGCCGAATATTAAGTTTCCCAAGACGGCTGCTGCCTTGCATAGCGCATTTAAGAAGCCAAAGCCTGTTGCCCTGCAAAGGAAAGAGACATGAACAAGGTTGAGAAAATGCCTTCCACGATTCCAACTTTAGACCAAAAGATCCTAGATTTTCAATGATCTTCACTCAGATTGTGTTGTATATTGGGAGCAAATCAATGCTTGTTAGCAACTCCGGGAGTAGAGAATCCTAGCTGTTGGTATTGTTCCTCCAGCCCTCTGTTGACTTTCTTACCATAGCTCCCATTGACTCCTACTCCGCCTATAAGTCCCAATGTATTGTGAACAGAAAGAGAGAAAAAATTGTACGGAGTATGAAACATCTCTAGTGGTTTAACGTTGTTGGAAGGAGGGGTCTTTTTCATTTTTTTAGAGATTAGGTCTTGCTCGGTTGCCCAGGCTGGAGTGCAGTGGTGTAGTAATTGTTCACTGCAGCCTCAAACTCCTGGGCTCAAGCAATCTTCCCACCTCAGTCTCCTGAGTAGCTAGGACTACAGATGTGTGCCACCATACACAGCTAATTTTTATTTTTATTTTTTGTAGAGATAGGGTCTTGCTATGTTGCCCAGGTGAGTATAGTGGTACAATGATAGCTCACTGCAGCCTCCACCTCGCAGGCTCAAGTGATCCTCCCACCTCAACCTCCTGAGTGGCTACCTGGGACTACAACTGTGTACTGCCATGCTCAGCTAATTTTTATTTTTATTTTTGTAGAGATGGGGAATCCCCCTATGTTGCCCTGGCTGGTCTCGAACTCCTGGGCTTAAGCAATCCTCTTGTCTTGGCCTCCCAAAGTGCTGGGATTACAGGCATGAGCCACTATACCCTTCAGGAAGGCTCTCTTAAATCAAACTTTAATTCTACTCTATCCAAACGCTTCTCTCAGGAACAAAACAGGCATAAAGCACAGTTCATTAGAGAGAGGCAGGTCACCTCTGCTCAGTGTGGAAAAAGCTGGGCCACCTCCTCTTATCCCAGGCAAAGGGTGGAGACGGTGATATAGAAAAATGGAGCAGTTTCTCATCTCTTTACAAGAGTGACTTGTTATTTTGTTTTGTAAATTCCCATGATTTCAGAAATCTATGTTTAAATGGAAATTTAAATTTCATTCCAAAGTTAAAATGTATGACAGGCTGAGCACAGTGTCTTACACCTGTAATCCCAGAAATTTGGAAGGCTGAGGCTGGAGGATTTCTTGAACCCAGAGAGTTTGAGGCCAGCCTGAGCAACATAGCAACACCCTGCCTCTATTAAATAAATAAAGAGGAAAAAACTGTTGTAAGTGCAACAATATATTTAGATTTCTTTTACTCCCTATTTAATTAATTTATTTTCATGCTAAGTGTTTTATTTTTTATTTATTTTCTATTTTACTTTCAGTTCTGAGATACATGTGCAGAATGTGCAGGTTTGGTACATAGATATACGTGTGCCATAGTGGTTTGCTGCACCTATTGACCCATCCTCTAAGTTCCCTCCCCTCGCCCCCCACCCCCCAAACAGGCCCTGGTGTGTGTTGTTCCCCTCCCTGTGTCCATGTGTTCTCATTATTCAACTCCCATTTATGAGTGAGAACAATCGGTGTTTGGTTTTCTGTTTCTGTGTTAGTTTGCTGAGGATAACGGCTTCCAGCTTCATCCATGTCCCTGTAAAGGACATTATCTCATTCCTTTTTTATGGCTGCATAGTATTCCATGGTGTATATGTACCACGCTTTCTTTATCCAGTCTATCATTGATAGGCATTTGGGTTGGTTCCAAGTCTTTGCTATTGTAAATAGTGCAGCAATGAACATACATGTGCATATGTCTTTATAGTAGAATGATTTATATTCCTTTGGGTACATACCCAGTAATGGGATTGCTGGGTCAAATGGTATTTCTGGTTCTAGATCCTTGAGGAATTGCCATACTGTCTTCCACAATGGTTGAACTAATTTACATTCGAACCAACAGTGTAAAAGTGTTCCTATTTCTCCACAGCCTCACGAGCATCTATTGTTTCTTGCCTTTTAATAATAGCCATTCTGACTGGCGTGAGATAGTATCTCATTGTGGTTTTGATTTGCATTTCTCTATGATCAGTGATGTTGAGCTTTTTTTCATATGTTTGTTGGCCATGTAAATGTCTTCTTTTGAGAATTATCTGTTCATATCCTTTGCCCACTTTTTGATGAAGTTGTTTGTTTTTTCGGTAAAATTGTTTACCATTCCTTATAAATGTCCTGGAATATTAAGACCTTGTCCAGAACGGGTAGATGGCAAAAATTTCTCCCATTCTGTAGTTGCCTGGTTCACTCTGATATTTCTTTTGCTGTGCAGAAAGCTCTTTAGTCTAAGTACATCCCATTTGGTGAATTTTGCCTTTGTGCCAATTGGCTTTTGATGTTTTCCCATCAGAAAGTCCTTTGCCCATGCCTATGTCCTGGGGAATGGTATTGCCTAGGTTTTCTTCTACGGTTTTTATGGTCTTGGTTTACATTTAAGTTTTAATCCATCCTTTTTTTTTTTTTTTTTTTTTTTTTGTTTTGAGAAACGGAGTCTCGCTGTGTCCGCCCAGGCTGGAGTGCAGTGCCCGATCTCGGCTCCTGCAAAGGCCCGCCTCCCGGGTTCACGCCATCTCCCGCCTCAGCCTCCGAGAGCTGGACCAGGCCCCCCGCCACCACGCCCGGCTAAGTTTTTTTGTATTTTATAGAGACGGGGTGTTCCACCATGTTAAGTCCAGGATGCTCGATCCTCCTGACCGTCGTGAATCCACCCGCCCTCGCTCCGCTCAAGGTCGGGATTACAGGCCTTGAGCCA